GTCAAGTGCTCTTACTCTGCTAAGAAAATCATACTACATTTTTTGAAGTGCTGTATTTTATCGATTTTTTATTTATCTTTTAGAATATCATTCTAACATAAAAGATTAGCCCATTCTCAAAAGTTGAGTTAATATTGATTTTAATTTACACATTATATAATTAACTGAATACTAAGAATAAATTATAACTAATATTTCAGAATATATTAAGAAATTAAATAATTCATTTAATTATTTCTATTAATAATATGTAAAATACATTTATTCCATTTGTTGCATAACCTCTTTTGTTTATAATCCTGATTATTATCGAGCGATGGCTTTTATATAATTATTGTATTCACAAAATTAATTGATTACCATTCTTGATTGTCATAGGATTAATAAGGAAAATTAAAATCTATTTAAGAACGAATATTATCTTCATAGTTTATTTTGATGCATCTTTTTAGGATTAATAAATAGTTTGAAAAATATTTCAAGCATATGCCCTTAAAACAAAGAGCACATGTATCTTAGCAATTATATTAACAAAGATGACATCCATCATCAAATATCAAATTTCCATCATCGCATTATTCATCAGGTGTGACAGTTTAATCACCACAAATAGTAAAGTATTATTTATCACGTAATTCATATCCAATTTTGCATTTTAGGCATCCATTTCCTTCAGATAGGTCATATTTAAGACAGGATTCTCTGCATTCACATCTATGTAATCTTGATTTTAATAGATATACATCAACACAATTGAAGACATATATTGGATAGACAAGTTTCAAATATTGATGGTTTTTAGCATTTAAACTTACAAGCCGATGTGCAACCATCATTATCATGTGCGAAATTATCATCATCACTATATTCAAAAAAATCAATATCGGAGCTGATACAATTATTCCATCTCCAAAAATATTTTTACAATTATTTGATTATTATGTTAAGCCGTCTCTACAATAAAATTAGCAATTCTTACAGAGTTTATTAAATCAATAATGCATTAGGTACAACCATCTCTTGAAGCATTGTTACCATCATCGCATTATTCAGATGCAAGAACTATTCCATCTCCACATGTACTTGTACAAACTTAATTTTAAATGTTGTTTCCGTCAAAACACTCGGTACATCTGCCTTGTATGCAGATTTTACATAGTAATTCTCATTAAAATTGGCATTTATTACATCCATCATTAGGCTCATCATTTCCATCATCGCATTATTCATCACTAGCTTTAATTTTGATCTCCACATTTTGTAACACGTATATTTTTAATATCATCATAATACAATCCTTTTGACTCATCATATTATTTCCTCTCTAAACATCTTTCCTTCTTTTAGTCATAAAAATAGGATTGTATACAGGATAGGCATTTATATTTTGGCAAATTGTACAGGTCTCTTGACATTAGAACTGACAATAAGTACAACCATCATAAATAATATTAATTCCATCATCACAATTTTTTTAAAGGTGTCATGATTTTATCTCCACACACAGACTCACAAGAGTTAGTTTTGAAATCTAAATAGTAGCCTTCAGAGCATTTAATGCATATTTCTGAATGACAATGTTAGCAATTAAAAGGACAGTTAAATATTACAGTTAATATATGTTACTTAATAATTTTAAATTAGATAATTGCATTATTCATTCTTAGCTAAAATTTCTTCTCCAACAATTGAGACACAGTTCAACTCTAGATTATCCCTTTTCTAAAAAAAATTATACATTGGAGCATGATAAACACATTGATGAACAATTTATATCACTCTATAAACAAGTTGTGTAGATAATATTATTTTATTTATCTTTTCAAATAGTCAATGATTAAATCGTCCCGTTGATGAAAAAAATCTAAATTTTAACCTTGTATTAAATAACTTTTAAAATATGTAAAATACATTTATTCCATTTGTTGCATAACCTCTTTTGTTTATAATCCTGATTATTATCGAGCGATGGCTTTTATATAATTATTGTATTCACAAAATTAATTGATTACCATTCTTGATTGTCATAGGATTAATAAGGAAAATTAAAATCTATTTAAGAACGAATATTATCTTCATAGTTTATTTTGATGCATCTTTTTAGGATTAATAAATAGTTTGAAAAATATTTCAAGCATATGCCCTTAAAACAAAGAGCACATGTATCTTAGCAATTATATTAACAAAGATGACATCCATCATCAAATATCAAATTTCCATCATCGCATTATTCATC